TTCTTTTCTTTACGAGCTGGTGTTGCTCAGAAAGAAAGCTTAGCAGCTTGATGAAGGCAAGCAAGGACAGCTCTGCGTCAAATTTCATGTCCAGCCTGAAAAATCTATAATCCTTCTCCCTCCTTCCCTCCTCCCCCCCCCTTTTCTCCCTTTCCCCTCTTCTTCCGTCCTGCATAATTCTAGTCCCTGTTTCCAATTCTTACTTCCAAGGAGGGCCTCAGTTCGTTCCCAGTCATTATTCTAATCCCCTCTGTGTGACCTAAACAAGCGTCCTCGGTCCTTCCAACTACCTCTATTCCTGACCAACATAAAAGTGAATTTGAGTTAATTCAATTCTGCCTATGATCCGAAGGAGTATAACATCAAAATCACAACTTACACCCGAATCGACCAAGCCAAACCGAGTTCTAGCAGTTGCTGCCAGAAACTCCAATCTTTCTCAGTGCCGGAACAAGGCGGTGGCAGCTCTAATCCTTCATCATCACGAAACCCAGTTCGTTGTCCGAAAATTTGTGTCTCGGGCGTGTAGGAATATCCGGGCCTGAACTGCAGCTTATTTTTCGGTGCGAGAGCGGAACATTACTACTGCATCTATTGGAAGAATCCTTACGGTCCCATAGATATGTAAGTGCTCCAACAAAAGTCTTGAGTCTGATCAAGAAGAATAAGTGCTCTTCGCGCCACACTCGTATAAGGCCCAGCTCGCTGTTTAGCTCGCCTATGCCTTTCGCAATCCTGTTCTATCTTCTTCAAAGACGTATGTTTATTTTGTTCTTTAACTATGTATAATATAACACGATGAATACACTGAAATGATTGCAGGACCTTGACAGAATGGCAGACAAGCATGACAGCGATATGGTCAAGAAGCCAGTAAGACCACGGTAAGAGTTAGCTGCAATAATAGAAATTTTGGTATCCAGATTTCGCTATAACTGACTTCCTTAGCGTACTTGTTCGGCTCTAGGGGTGCGGCATCCTTCTTTAGTGCAAGTGTTTTGTAGACATGGCATAACGAAGGAAGTGGCACTCGACTGCGAATTTGTCGCCAAAGGCTCGCTTCAACTTGAAAATATGTTAGCGAGGGTGTCAATTGTCAACAGCGACTTAGAATGCCTTTACGATGAATACGTGAAACCACAAGAGGAGGTTACTAATTACCGCACTCACGTGTCTGGCATCAGGCCTAAAGATATCGAAAACGGTAAGCTGTTCCAGTCCTTGAACGAATATTTTGCAAATTTAGCTTCTTATG